GTCTCAGCTGATGGAATCACACCTTTCCCACCAGTCCTGGAAACACTGCTCCCTTCTGACAGAGCTGCCATCTCAGTGGCACTCACTTGCCAGCCATTCCTGAACCCCCTCATCATCCACAGCCGACTGGTCACCAGAGCCGTGTTTATTCTCAGAGCCAGCACTGACAGGGAGTGGACTGCCTCTCGCTGCCACTGACCCATGGTGTACAGATGCCTGGCAGCGGACCTCCAGCCCACACACATCTCAGGGATGTCCCTCTCCAGTCTCCCTGCCCACCGCCTCCTTCAGGTCAGCCCTCGTGTCCTCCCCTGGGTCCCCACACACAGTCTCCCACTGGTCCAGCACATATTCAGTGGTCCTGAGCTTTCCAAGACACAAGTTTCTCCCCTGGCCTAAAACCACTGCCTGCCTCTCTGCTGCTTGGGGGCAGAATCTGAGCTCCTGGCCACCTGCCTATACTGGCATCATCCCGTCTCAGGACTTCGCTGAGCATTTCTGTGCATCCTTAACGCAAGGATGGGGACTGACACTCATCAAGCCTGGGGCTTGGCTCTTGCTTGCCTGACTGGCTGTGAGGATCCAGGGAGCAAAGGGACAGTGCACAGCGTGTGGGCAGGTGTGGAGGTGAGGGAGGCAGGCAGGGAGTGGCCGAGGGAAGGGGATTTTCTGTGGGCGGCATCCTGCTTTTAACAGGTTCTTGGACAGCAGATAAAAGTGGTCATGCATGTAGGACCCGCAAATCCACTTCTCTAGAGCTCTCTCTGGGGCATGTGGACAAACACTTGCCCTTTCTCCCCTCGTGCCATCTGGGACCAGACACTTGTCACTTCCTGCAGAACTGCTTTGGCATCTCTTGAGTCAGTATCTGCTTTAATTTCTAAATCTCCAAGATAACACATAAGTCTACATCACGTGATGAATCTCCTCACACACCTTAGTGTGAAGCAATTTGATGGACTAGACCAAGGTGAGGCTCGCTCAGACACCGCAGAGGCGCCTGTGCCAGTGTGTGTGCCTGCTGCTCAGGACACATACAAGTGTTAGAATTCGGGTAACTCGGCAGATGGTGTTTCAGGCTGGGTGAGGATAAGAGCTCACCTGGGAGCCCACCTCCCATGATCCTCCAGGGCTAGTAGGCCCCGCCCACTGGGAGCAGCACTGTCCTCTGCAAGGAGACCCGCAGTGCTTTAGCTGGAGCAGGAGGAAGGGCCGGCACCAGGGCTGGTGGACCTCAGGCTAGGTATGCCTTTGCCCCAGCAGGAAGGGCTCCTGCCACCCGCCCAGGAGGCAGATGCTGGCCATCGAGGGACCACTGAGGGTGCAGATGTGTGTTTTGAAGTCTCTGTGGAGAGCAGAGGCAAATTTGGGAAGCAGGGAGTGATGGTGAGGCTGAGTGGGAGTGTGGGAGCATGGGCTGCTCCAGCACCCCCGAGAGGTGAGATGGGGTGGAGGGGTGTCCTGGCAGATGCTGAGCTCACAGTGCAGCTATGGGTGCAGCCAGCTGTGCCAGGCAGTCGTCCTGGCCTGTCTGGGGTCATGACTGCTCTGTAGTGGCAGGACGGGCAGTGTTATCAGACAGCCCAGCTGGCTCAGAGGTGGCCCCCCAGAGCTGCTAAATCGGGGCCATGGGCTCCTGCTGCAGGAAGAGGGAAATGCAGGCAGGATGTCCTCTCTTGTGGCCGACAAGTCCTTTCCCATGAACCCCTGCTGACCTCGCTAGCCACGTGGCAGGGCTCCCCCACTCCTCACCCTGACCTACCCCCCTCGCAGGCCACCCACACCCAGGCCTGGTTTCAGGGGTGGGGGTGGTCTGGGGCGCAGGAGTCAGGATGAGGCGTGCCCGCTGTCCACTCCACCCAGCCTCAGCCTCTGCCAGCAATGAATGCCCGCACCTTCCTCCTCCCAGACTTCTCCGGAAAACCAAGATCCCAGAGGAAGCCAGTGTCTGAAAAGGATTGAAACTCAGGAATCCCTGGCTCCAGCTGGCCATGTCAGCTGTGTCTCACTCAGAGGCTGATGCAGGGAGTGTGAGAAGCTCCCGTGACTCCTCTGCTGACCACCTCCCTCTTTCCTCGGGGCATCTCAGTGGATGGGGAGGCCCAGGTCAGGCCCTGCTGGAGAAAGATCTGCTGTGGGGAGGAAAGCACCACAGTCACGGAGGCACTGAGCATGTCTGCCCCTGGGCCACAGATGTCTCATGGCCCGTCAGGGTCCGCACTCAGGAAACCCCTGCAGTGGCGGGGTCCAAATCCTCCCCCACTTCTGGGAGCAGCACCACTTGGGATTTGCACAGAACTGCAGCCCTGTGTCCTGGGTCAGGGTGCCACGTCCTGGGGGCAGGCTGGGGCATTTGCCAGACTGTCACACCTGCTCCCATAGCACTGAGGGCGCTGTGTGGTTGGTGCAGGCAGCAAAGCTATGCAGACGCCTGGGCCCGGCCTCCTGCACAGTGGGCACATGAGCACCATCCGCACCTGCGGCCTGAGTGCAGAGCTGGGGACTATCAGCCGGGTCTAGCTCCACACCCTGCTTGCCCTGACTTATAGCCCCACTCCACCCCATCCCCAGTCTACTCTTGGGTTTGACTCAGCAGAAAGCAGGAGGGCTACAGGAGAGCCAGCACACAGCAGGAGCCCGTGCCCTCAGGCCAGGCCAACCCAGCTGACCCACTCACCTGCTTCCTCTGTATGTGCCTGAGCCGACTGCCCACTGTCCAGAGGCACAGCCTCTTTCTAGACCAACCTCTTGAGGTCGACCTCTGCCACAGACCCCTCTGTAAGGACATTGCCAGGGCAAGCCTTTTTAGACCTAGACCAGGACATCGTGTCTTGACATCCAGGCCAAACACAATCCCTCCGTGCTCGCCAGCCTGCTGTGCTGCTACCCATGGGGAAACGCAGGTGTGGGGGAGGAAGAAAGAGGCCCAGGCGGGAATTTAGGGGGCCGAGCTTGGACAAGAGTCTGCCTCTGTCAATAGGACTAACAGCACAACTTTGAGCAGTCAGCTTCAGGCCCCGGGCTTCTCGCCCGCCCTGGCCTGGCCTCCCACTCTGCATAGAAGCGTTTATGCTTCATCGCCAGCATCCCCCGCCATGCCATGAGTGCCCGGGTCTTCCTCTACCCAGCATGGTGGGGAGGGACACGTAGGCTCAGGGAGGCTGGAGATGGTTTTCACTCCATTGGCTTCTCCCTACCAGTCAACCCCTGGTCCTGCCTGGGTCGCCCTCCTCCATGGGCCCCTGCAGTTGCCATTGTGCCCTTTCTCCACAACCAGACTTTGTGAGAATCACCTGCACTCAGGGCAACGGTTGACTTCATGCTCCTCCCTCCTCCATCTCCCGCTTGGCTCCAGGAAGCACCAGGACAACAGCCTTTCCTGGTTTTCTTAATCCTGAGGAATGTTCTCTGTCTCCCTAGAAGGCGCTCCCTCCCAGTGTGCATGTGGGAATCCCTTCCTGGACTCTGGTTTTCTCCCTGTCCAGCTAGCTCCCAGTCCAATCTCTCTGCTGAGCCTCAAAAACAACACCCACTGTCTACCAGAAATCTCCTTCAGGCAGGCAAGTTTAGGGCTAGCCTTGCAGTCCGACCAGGACACATTCACTTCTCCTCCACTCATTCAGTCACTCAACGAACACACACTGAGCTCTTCCTATGAGAGCCTGACTCTGCCCTGGGTGAAGGGGAAGGAGAAAAGGCCAAGTAGAAGCCCCCTGCCCAAACCTGCCCTGACTTAGAGGACCGTACAGACGCCCTCCTCTTTCTTCCTGCCTCTTCTCTCACTCACACCTCCCCTGCTCTCAGTCCCTGAATCCTAAAGACACAGAGAACAGGGTCCTGTTACCCAAAGACCTGGACTGACCATTTCCCTTACTACTGGCCTCCCGGTGTTTTGGGGGGAAGTTAATATATGTCCTTGATCTAAACGGCTCATCTGTAAAATGGGTCTCTTGTGAGGATTAAAAGATGAAACACGTAAAGTCAGTATCCAGTGTCCACCGTGTTACAAGAACAGAGAGGTCTCCACCTCTCTTCAGATCTCCCACTTCTCCTTTCCCAACCTCAGGGTGCCCATGATTCTCCCTCTGGCCCCTGATTCAGGGCCGCCAGATCTTGTATGAACTCCCAGCTCCTCTTTTCTCCACCCCTGATGCTTATCCCTGGCACCTCCATCCAAACAGTGCTCTATGACCCCCTCTTTCATACCACACTCTACCTTCTCTCCAACCTCATGGTGGTAACCTTCCGTCATGTTCCCGTCACCAGGGAATCCTGCCTTATGATCCCGGCTCCTTACATCTGTCTTCAAGGCTCCTGCCCATCAAATCTTGGCAGCACTGGCCTTCTGCCTCTTTGCCCTGCTCATTCACGAGTTGCCCCCTTCAGATTCGTTCGCCTCAAATTCCATCATGCACCTGTGCCCAACCCGCCCAGGGCGCCAGACTCCGACGGTCAGGACCCCTGCCCTTGCAGAGCCTGGCCTGCCTGCCCGGAGAGAGCCCTCTGGGGCGGACCCCGAGGCGTTGGGTGGCATCGGGAAACGCACTCCTGTTCTGGGCGGGCCAGGGATTGCCGCCGGGGCGCAGGGGACGCTCCCAGGGGCGCGGGTGTAAAGGCTAACGGTGAGGGTCTAGGGCTCCGTCGGGTAGCGGGTAGCGAACGAGGGATCCAGGCTGAGGATGCAGCTCCTTTGGAGCCGAACCACAGACTGTGACGGTCGGAGCCCAGAGCAAAATCCCGGAGCTTCGGTGAAGCCCTGCGCTGAGTCCCAGACCCCGCTGCGGTCCCCGCCCGCTCTTTCCTCATGCCAGGGGGAGCGAGCCCCACTCTGGGTGCTCCGAAATGTGTCCACGCCCCCGGCCTCCCAGCCCTGTCTCCCCCGGCACCGCAGACCCAGCGCCAAATCCCCGTCGATTGGCCGTAGGTGAGGTCCCACCACTCGCCCCGAGCGCGCGACCCCCTCGCCACAGCCCCGCACTCGCGGGGCTCCCCACGCTCACCGTCTAGGAGTCCGAGGCAGAGCCACAGGCGCAGACACAGCGCGGCGCCCGGCTGCATCTCCGGCCACCGAGGCGCGGGTCAGACTACGCGGCCGCGGCTCCCAGTTCGGAATGTGGGCGCGCGGCGCGGGCGCAGGCGGGGC